GCTGGTATTGTATATTATCCAGGGCCTGGTACCAGATGCCTTTCCTTAATGCATCCCGGCCATCCAGGTCCTCCTCCTCGTATGACACTGCTGGTTCCATGCTGTTGCTGTCAGGGTCGCTGTACTCAGACATGCGTTGCCCTCAAATTGTAAATCCACGAATGGTGTCGCCTGTAGCTGTCCTGTAGTCTGTGGGAACGATCCCGCCGCTTGCCACCAATTGTAACGGACCGTTTTGCACAAAAGGGGAAAAAACCCGCTTAGACGATAATCCCCCTTTCAGAGACAGGCACAGCTACTGAATAATCACCAAAACTCACGAACCGCCAATAAGTGAATGCTCCAACCTCCCGAACGGCATACAAGGGAATAAGGTAGCACTTCAAATAAACGAACAGGAACCATACGAATAGCTGCTAGTAGGCGAACAGGAAAAGCTTCCAAGCGGCTTACACTCCTGGCAATCAGTCCTTAGCAGCATACAGTAAATCCCCCCCAAAGACGAGACAAGGCTCCGTGTTGAGGGTCAAGCAGTGGTCTGAGGTGCTGGCACACCCAGCCTGGTTTTATTACAGTGTTTCAAATACAGGACCACCCACAGGGAGGGATAAAACAACCAATCATATCACAGTTACATCCCACATATTCCCTCCCCTTATCCTGAGAGGGAACTCAATTATACAAACAGTTAAAACATACTTTCTACCCAACTTTCATAACTCCAAAACCATACATCACATTCACATAAAATTACATATTCTCAATCAATCCATTCAGGGGAACAACATATTCAAAAATGGTACAAATCAGACAAGGGGTTCAAAAGTTAGTAAAAAGTCATTTGTGACTAAATGAAGCATGGCTTTCTGGCCCAAACCAGTTTCAGAGTCTTCTATCCTGGAGATAAGTAATTCAATTATCTCCCAGGACAGACACAAGACTCCATTAAGCACATGGTTGCAAAGAGACACAAAACAACACTTTAAAATACATAAAGTCACATTTATTACATAAAACACAGACATGTAACGTATCCCCAGATAGCTCAGGTCCGAGCGCACATTATTAAGTGAATGGCGCTCAGACCACACGAATACAGCTTAATCGCCATGGAGCTAAAGTCTTTACAGTCAGTTTCATACGAATGGGCTCCATGGGATTCCTATCTGGGGTATAACACATTCAAACAAATCTACTGAACCCCAGGCAGAAAAGCACAAATACAGCTTTTCTGCAGGCAAAAATAAAGTCTTTTAACCCCTTAAGGACCGAGGACGGTTCAGGACCGTCATCGGCATTTTTGCGTTGCCGACCGATGACGGTCCTGAACCGTCCAAACGGTCTGGGGCTACTTACCTGATCGCCGTCGTTCCCCCGGTGGCGATCAGCGTGGCTCCGGTTGTGGGGAGACTGCCTACAGCCCAGACAGTCTCCCCATGGCAGATTAGGACCCCTGTGGCCATGTGATCGCTTAACACAGCGATCACATGGTCACAATAGGTGTCCATAGTGCTGCCTGCAGGGGGACTGTCTGTACTGACAGGCAGTCTCCCTGCAACTGTAAAATCTGAAAAAAAATTAAAGTTAATGGTAATAAAAAAAATAATAATAATTATATATGTATAAATATGATATATAGACATATATTATATCTATATAATATATGTCTATATATCATATATATATAATGTCATACTAACTGTATTTTTATATTAATATGTACTTATATTAATATAAAAATACACTTATAATTAAATTACACACGTATATATATAATATATATAATAACTATATATATTGTATATATATATTATTATAAAATATAAATAATAAGTAATTTAAATTAAATAATTTTTTTTAAAATAATAATAAAAAATTTAAAAAAATTATATAGCTATATGAAATTTTATTCTAACTGTATTTTAAAATTAATATATATATATTTATATCAAAATACACTTAGAATGAATTTGTATATATATCTATGTATATAAAAATAAATAAAAATAATAAGAAATATACATACGTCCATATACAAAATTACATAAATAATTATATAAATATACACGTAGACTTCAAATATATAAATATGCATATATATTTAAATTCTACGTGCGTATTTATGTAATATTTTACATAATTAAGTAATTTTATTGATTGCAATTTGAGGGACCTGCCTGCCAACCCAGGCCAAAAGTCCAGAGAATTTAATTTGCTAGCACTGTATTTTACCCTGTAACGTTCTACGACACCCTAAAACCTGTACATGGGGGGTACTGTTTTACTCGGGAGACTTCGCTGAACACAAATATTAGTGATTCAAAACAGTAAAACATATCACAGCGATGATATTGTCAGTGAAAGTTACTTTTTTGCATTTTTCACACACAAACAGCACTTTTACTGATGATATAATTGTTGTGATACGTTTTCCAGTTTTTTAAACACTAATATTTGTGTTCAGCGATGTCTCCCGAGTAAAACAGTACCCCCCATGTACAGGTTTTATAGTATTTTTGAAAGTTACAGGGTCAAATATATGGGTCAAATATTTTTACATTGAAAATGGCCAGGTTGGTTACGTTGCCTTTGAGAGCGTATGGTAGCCCAGGAATGAGAATTACCCCCATGATGGCATACCATTTGCAAAAGAAGACAACCCAAGGTATTACAAATGGGGTATGTCCAGTCTTTTTTAGTAACCACTTGGTCACAAACACTGGCCAAAATTAGCGTTCAATTTAGTTTTTTTTACTTTTTTTCACACACAAACAAATATGAATGCTTACTTTGGCCAGTGTTTTCGACTAAGTGGCTACTAAAAAAGACTGGACATACCCCATATTGAATACCCTAGGTTGTCTACTTTAAAAAAAATATGTACATGTGGGGTGTTATTCAGAGATTTATGACAGATAATAGTGTTACAATGTCACTATTGATAAATTTTAAAAATGTATGTTTTGAAAACGCAATATCCTACTTGTACCTATAGCCCTATAACATGCAAAAAAAGCAAAAAAGCATGTAAACACTGGGTATTTTTAAACTCAGGACAAAATTTTGAATCTATTTAGCAGTTTTTTTCATTCGCTTTTGTAGATGAGTAAAAGATTTTTCAAGTAAAAGTCAAAAAACATGTATTTTTTCAATTTTTCATCAGATTTTTGTATTTTTTTTAAATTAAAATACATGAGATTATATAAATAATGGTATGTAAAGAAAGCCCATTTTGTCCTGAAAAAAACAATATATAATTTGTATGGGAACAGTAAATGAGAAAGCGGAAAATTACAGGCAAACACAAACACCAGAAAAGTGTAAAAATATTCCTGGTCGCAAATGTACAACATCGCAAAAACAGTCCAGTCCTTAAGGGGTTAAAAGGGGGCCATAGTCCAAAGGCAGCAGGCGAGCAACCAGGCTTCTCCAATGCAATGTGGCGAGATTGGTCTCGTCACACTGTGTGTGTTACTCTGTGTGTTACTCTGTGTGTTACTCTGTGTGTTGTTACTCTGTGTTGTTACTCTGTGTGTTACTCTGTGTGTTACTCTGTGTGTTATTACTCTGTGTGTTACTCTGTGTGTTACTCTGTGTGTTATTACTCTGTGTGTTACTCTGTGTGTTATTACTCTGTGTGTTACTCTGTGTGTTATTACTCTGTGTGTTACTCTGTGTGTGTTACTCTGTGTGTTACTCTGTGTGTTACTCTGTGTGTTATTACTCTGTGTGTTACTCTGTGTGTTACTCTGTGTGTTATTACTCTGTGTGTTACTCTGTGTGTTATTACTCTGTGTGTTACTCTGTGTGTTATTACTCTGTGTGTTACTCTGTGTGTGTTACTCTGTGTGTTACTCTGTGTGTTACTCTGTGTGTTGTTACTCTGTGTGTTACTCTGTGTGTGTTACTCTGTGTGTGTTACTCTGTGTGTGTTACTCTGTGTGTTACTCTGTGTGTTACTCTGTGTGTTACTCTGTGTGTTACTCTGTGTGTTATTACTCTGTGTGTTACCTGTGTGTTACTCTGTGTGTTGTTACTCTGTGTGTTACTCTGTGTGTTGTTACTCTGTGTGTTACTCTGTGTGTTGTTACTCTGTGTGTTGTTACTCTGTGTTACTCTGTGTGTTACTCTGTGTGTTGTTACTCTGTGTGTTACTCTGTGTGTTACTCTGTGTGTTGTTACTCTGTGTGTTACTCTGTGTGTGTTACTCTGTGTGTTACTCTGTGTGTTACTGTGTGTGTTATTACTCTGTGTGTCGTTACTCTGTGTTGTTACTCTGTGTGTTACTCTGTGTGTTACTCTGTGTGTTGTTACTCTGTGTGTTACTCTGTGTGTTGTTACTCTGTGTGTTGTTACTCTGTGTGTTACTCTGTGTGTTACTCTGTGTGTTGTTACTCTGTGTGTTACTCTGTGTGTGTTACTCTATGTGTGTTACTCTGTGTGTTGCTGTGTGGTGTTACCTCTGTGTGAGGCCTCTGTGGCCATGCCTCTGTGTGTATTGCTCTGTGTGTTACTGTGTGTGTTGTTACTCTGTGTGTTGGCCTCTGTGTGTGTTACTGTGTGTGTTGTTACTCTGTGTGTTGTTACTCTGTGTGTTACTGTGTGTGTTGTTACTCTGTGTGCTGTTACTCTGTGTTACTCTGTGTGTTACTCTGTGTGTTGTTACTCTGTGTGTTA